GTGGATGGGGTGGGGTGGGGCGTCCTCCGTGGTGTCAAGGAAGTTAAAATCGTCGGCGGAAGGGTGATGTTCGTAGGGAAAAACATTTTCATCAAAAATAACATGACGGGAGACAATTATTTTGTTAGTGTGGAGATCTAAACAGCGATAACCGCGTTGGTGGGAGGGGTAACCAAGAAAAATGCACTGTGCCGAGCGTGGGGCAAGTTTATGTGGGGCAGTGGCGGAGGTGTTTGGATAGCATAAACAACCGAATACACGGAGGTGGGCGTAGGCGGGTGGGGTGCGGAAGAGAGTGGTGTGGGGAATTTGGTTATTGAGGGTAGTGGTCGGGAGGAGATTGAATAGGTGGGCGGTCATGTGGAGTGCCTCAACCCAAAATTCTGGGGGAAGGTGGGCTTGGAAAAGAAGTGTTCGGATGGTGTTATTTATGGTGCGGATAGTCCGCTCGGCACGGCCATTTTGTTGGCTTGTGTATGGGCACGAAAAACGAAAAAGAATGCCTAAGGAGTTAAAAACAGTACGGAGGGGAGAGTTCCGATATTTAGTGCCATTGTCACATTGAACATTTTTAATTGTTGTGTTAAAATGATTTTTGACATAGTTAATAAAAGTAGTGAGATGAGTAAAAACATCAGATTTTTGTTTTAAAGGAAACACCCAAGATAATGTGAAAAGTCATCTAGCAATAACATGTAGTGTTTAAAACCAGTAATACTCGGGACATGGGATTGCCATAAATCAGTATGTAATAATTCAAAGGGGAAAGAGGAAATACGACAAGAAGAAGAAAATGGGAGACGAACATGTTTTCCCAACTGACAAGCATGACATAAATTTTTGCTAGGAAAAAATTTAAAAAGACTGGAGACACTGGAGACACCACGAAGAACTGCCGGGCTGGGGTGTCCAAGACGCCGATGCCATGTGTGGATGTCAACGGACGCACTGTGGACTTGAGCTGGGGGCGCAGGGAGCAAAGGGTAGAGTGGGCCGAAGTTATTGGACTGATGCATCACGGTTCCCGTCCGAAGATCCTTCACAGAAAAACCATGTGCATCAAATTCAATAGAGCAGTTATTATCACGCGTAAACTGGCGAACAGAAATGAGGTTATGGATGATATGAGGGGAGATAAGGACATTATTAAGGGAGAGGGGGGTTGGTGGGGAGGGTGTGGGTACCCACCGCCATAGTGCTAACCTTAGAACCATTGCCAACAATAATATGTAATGGAGAATTTAACGATTGAGAAGAGACATGGGAAATAGTACCTGGATCAGAGGCGATGTGATGCGTGGCTCCCGTGTCAAAATACTATGTGGGTTCCCGTAGGGTCATGGTATCAAATTGGTGTGCTAAGGCGGTGTAGGTGAGGTTGGGAGCCTGCGGGTGGGGGGTGGTGTTTGCGGGTAGGGTGATGGGTATGGGGGGGCTGTTGGGTAAGGGGGTAGGGTTGGGGCTGGGTAGGTTGTTTGGCCGTAGGGTTGGGGTGGAGGGTTAGGGTTAGGGTTGTAGGTGTAGTAGGCGTGGGCATTGGGATGAGTAGGGTTGGGTGGGCACGGGCCGAGGAGACCCGAGCTGGGGTTGGGTTGCGGTGAGTTGTTCTAAGGTACGTAGCCGTCATGCGGGTGTCGTTGCGAGCCAGAGTTTCTTCCTCGTCCACGTCCACGACCGCCTCCACCACGGCCGTAGTTGCTCCCCTGCTGTCCGCGGCCACCACCGTCGCCGCTGTGCCCGCTGCCAGGCACTCCACTGCCATGCCCGAAGCCGCCGCTGCTGGAGCCGTAAGGAGGGCCGCCGGTTCTGCCGGCCAGGAGGGCTGTCCTGGCGTCGTCCGCGATGCTTTGCCATTTCCGATCTAGGAGTAGGAGGGCGGATCGGGTCTGAAGAAAGTTGGGCAGCGGTTGTTGGAATTGTAGGAACGACGTCTGAGCATGAAGATCTTCGGGCAGCCCCCGAAGCATTTGGAGCACGAGTTGAGACTCAGAGACCAGGGCGTCGACGTCATCCAACCAATCAGCAATGTTCCAAAGTGTTTGAAAATACGTGGCCATAGTCATCGTACCCTTGACAGTGGTTCGAAACTAATGCTCGAGTTGCATTGCCCGAGCATGCTTGTTGTCATGAAATAGTGCATGAATAACCTGCCATAATTCAGCAGCGGTGGAGGTGGTAGAGATGACTAGATCTGAGACTTCGTCAGAAATAGTAGAGAGAATCCATCCTTGGATCAGGGCGTCGAGCTGGAACCATTCATCATCATCAGTAGAGGAGGGAGATGAAAAACCCGAGAAAAAGCCGTGTAGGGTGAATCGGCGCACCAGGAGGAGAAATAGCCGACTCCACTTTTTGTAGTTGGGCTGAGAAAAGCTGAGCTGAATCGGGACATGAAGCTTGACGTTGGAGATTGTTGTGAAGGCAAGATGAGGAGCATTCGAGGAGGAGGAAGAGGTTGAGTTTTCTGAAGCTTTATCAGAGGAAGCCATATTGAGAGGAGAAGGTGTTGTCGTCGCCGAGGAAGAGGGGGGGCTGTGCTGCGCCGCTGCTGCCGTCGAGGAGAAGAGGACGGCGGGTGCTGTGCTACGCTGGGAGAAAGCACGCCGAGAGGGAGGGAGAGAGCACGGGTATGGTTAGGGTTTTTGGGTTGAGAAATTATGGCTCCACAAACCCATAGCTCCGATACCATAAAGAATTATGAATTTCCTTGAACCATAAAGTGGGAGTACATGGGTTTATATATACAACCTTTTCCTAATCCTAATCATGGTAGGATTCTACAATAGGAAACAATATTTGTACAATTAATATAGAATATATATTTAACATAAATATAGAATATATTTAACATTGACAATTAATCATATTAATTATCCATACGTTTATTTTATAAAAAAAGATATCTACATGGATAAGTGTAAAAAAGTATGAAAATATCAAAATAGGAGTCCAAATTATTTAATACCAGAATATGAGTTTAATGACAGTGTGATATAAGAATACATGTTGGCAGTGTGATGAAAAAATGATGACAACATAATATAAGAATGTGATCAATCAATCACCGGTGATCGACGACGACACTTTAGTTGCCGGTGGCAACAGATGAGAGTGTGACCGTGATAATGTGGCACTTCCAGATTGATAATGTGGTGAGTGTTACAATATAAACTATAATTTTGGTTTTAAAAGACTTATAACTATTATTTTGGTATTTTTATATTTTTCACTCTTATCTAGTAAGTTCTTCCTATATACAATTTTAGTATTTTAAAATCACTTTTTGAATTGAAACTATTGATATTACATTTATATCGAAACATAATACTTCCACCGTCCCATAAAGATGTTCTCATTTTGACCTTTAGAGCATCCGCATCTGGCGGAGAAGAAGACGGAGGTTCTCGTGGAGTATAGTAGAAGCTGCATCCGAAGGAGGCCGGAGGAGATGGAGAAGTACTCCTCCTGCACAGTTTCCAAGAGAGAGAAGGAGAGGAGCTTCTCCGCGGAGAAGTAGAAAAAAAAGAGCCAAAATCCAATAGTTGCTTGACATGTGGCAATAACTCCAATATTTTGTTTTGTTTTCTACTCCAAGGTGCTTCCGTATAAACTAGAAAAAAAATTGTAATGATTTTTTAAATGAACTTGGTTACTTAATCTTGAATAATAGTTTTAAAATGAATTTTTTTATTTTTTTAAACTAGAAATTTAATTTGTAAATTTTATTCACTTTCTTTTTTAGGGAAATAAATATGCGTGTATCTTTAATTTTATTTTATTTCTAAATACTCAGTAAATTTTAACCACACACTTTTTACGAAGCTTTGTATAAATTAAAATTAAAATTATTCTCTTAATTATATAAAAATAAGTTATACATATAATATTGTTTTCGTAGTCCTTTTGATGTAGGAGAAAAGGAGTAATGGAAGAGTTGTAGGTTGGGTCCACAAAATCTGATATGGAAGAGAGAAGTAAAAGGTAGTCCTCCATTTAGTAGTCCTACCAATGTGGGTGCTCTTAAGGAATACAAGGGAGAGATAATTTTGTGTTGACTTTCCAAATATATCCTTGATGTGATGGGTAAAAGTATGATGTGGTATGTAGGTTAAGAATAATTAATTGGAATAAAAGTGATTTTCAATAGAAAAGAGAGATTTTGTGGGGGAAAAAAGAAAGAGATTAGAGTTTTTGGGACGGAGTCGCGGAGAGAATATTTTTTCAAATATCGGGAATAAAATTTACAAATAATTCTGACAAAGAAAAGCCAAATGAGAAGATTAAATGAAACTGGAAAGGAGTATATATAATAATTCATCATACATACAAATTAAAAGACCTGCACATAAAACTAAGCAATCTTAGCCTATTGAATTTGCGATTGGGGCACAATAAGCTGACACTGATTCCGAGATGATACTATTGCCTCCTGGAGACATCTCAACGTTCTACTGTGGCGCATGAATCCCACGAACCAAAACTCGAACTCGTCTTCAGTCATCACCTGAACATACTTCTTTGTCGGCTTCTTCGCATCCCCCCTCCCGTTCGCGCACTTTATTTTCGACAGCGGGATCGTGACCTTGTAACGAATCGGCGTAACGGGGGGCGGGGAGGAGACGACGCGACGACGGATGTTGAAGGATCTCTCGCTGTAGAAACAAACCTTCTCTGTTGATATAAATAGAAGGCCGCCTATGGGTCCCGCCGTCGTCCATAAACAGCATCGCAACGTCTTCACCAGTTTTTCGCCGTCCTCAAATGCGAAATTCGACTTGAACACGTTCCCCACTCCCCATGCCTGAACAATCTTCGCCCCCAGGCTCAGCTTTCCCTTCACGCTGTCTCTTATTTTTCGCCCAAATGTAACTGTGCCCATGCATTCATAATCAATTAATACTTTATTTAAAAAGACATGAAGTCCACATATGGTTTTCCCGTCCAAAAAGTATGACAATTAAAAAGGGTAAGTTATAATAATTAAAAAGGGTAAGTTATAATATTTAACGTAAGTAATATTAATTGGAAATAATTAAAAAAAAAGGTAAGTTATACAATTATACGCCCAATTTTACAAAAAAAATAATATTTATGGTAAGAATAATTATACACCATTTTCATAAAAATTTAACCCTTCTTATTATAATAGCCTATAATGTAGTCTATGAATAAGTCTTTCGAAATTTATAAAGCATTGATGTTTTTTACCTTAACATAATATAATCTCCATATTCTATTTCATCTCATTTTTATCATTGAAAAATGATTTGGATTTAATAACATAAAAATGATCCGTGCAACGCACGGGTGTGATACTAGTATATTCTAATAACACATTTTTCGAGCCTTGTGTTAGAATATAAGAAACATTTCTTAGGCCACAACCACAAGCTTGAGTTTTTGGTTGAATTGGTTCCTTGACATGGTATCAGAGCCTTCTTGACTAAGAGGTCACGGGTTCGAAACTCAGCGCCACCCAGTTTTAAAAAATTAAGGTTTCACATGCAAGACTTGATTTTTTTTAAACTGTGTCACACTAAGTTTAGAACCCGTGACCGCTTAATTAGTCAACAAGGGCTTGATGTCGTGTCAAGGAACCAATTCAACCAAAAGCTCGAGCTTGTGGTTGTGGTCAAAGAAATTTATTTCATATTCTAACAATAATGCACCATGAAAGAGATGAGAACACATACGATACATTAGATTTAAGATCTAAGGACTATTAAAAATCGGAAAGAAATGAAAAAAATTGAGGTGGCAATTTTGTAAATAAATTAAACTTTTTTCAGTGCCGAAAATGTACTATTACAGGTGTAAGTTGCAAATGCATCATTCTCATTTCTCCTAGTAAGGACCATTCGATCACCAAACCCCTTATTAACTGGACCTATAACTTAATCGAAAGCTCGATATAAAAGGAACGACGACCAAACTAAAAAGAAAAACTCACATATTCTCGGTGATTTAGTCTTTTCCGATTGTTCGGCGTTGGATAAAGTAGTCATGGCACCGGCATGGCATTGATCATGGAGAAGCCTTTTCTTGTGATGATGAGAGTTCATAGAGGAGCACAACGGCGTTGAGCTGAGTTGGCTCGCCTGCGGCAGCTTCATTTTCAACATGAATATTTTCTACAAGGATCCGAAATCGGAGTATATATATATATATATATATATATATATATATATATATATATATATATATATATATATATATATATATATATATATATATATATATATAAAATTAATATGCATATAATATATGTTTTGTTTGTGTTGTGAACTTGTGATGTGTGAATAAAATGCACAAATTTTATGGGACATTTGTGTTGTTATTTATAGGAGAAAAAAGCATCCCTTTTTTTGGGTCGCCCTTAGCTTAGCTGATTCGTCTGTGCTGATGCAAAAGTAGTGCTTTATGAAGTGGCCAGGCAGACATATATATACTTTGCTTCCTTAGCTTTTCTCTGATGGCTATCGCTGCTGATGCATATATGCATCTTCTTTCTCATCTAGTGAATCAAAAAAGTTGGAATATACATACACCATGCAATTCAAGATTTCTACATAAATACGGAGTATATCTCTTAGGGTAGACATTATTAGGCTGCATTCTCTTCGGCTGGTGGAGTGATCTGATTTGAATGAATCTGATCTAATATTAATAGAACAGATTTGATCTTAATGGATTTAATTTAAATTCAAATAATTAGAGTAATGGTAATAATTCAAATAATCTGAACTTCGATGTTTTTATTCCTCAAAATACCAGTTAAAATGCATTTACATTACCAAACGTGATCATGTACATTATCAAAAAGTATAATAATGTGCATGTGTACACTGCCACAATTCCACATACAGTGTCAACTCCTATTTCGGGAATAAAAACATGAAAATCTTATTTTGATACTATGTTTTAATCTTATTTTGAGTGATTTTTCATTAAAATACCATTTTAAAACCATTTTTTCACTCCCTTTTTGAAAAAAATACTCTATCGGTTTCAAATTAATTTGTTTCCTTTGAGTTCACAGGAATAAAGAAATTGTTGAAAATATAATGGGAAAACGGTTGTAATGCAATAATGAGCAATAATTAACATTTTTTTTAACCACATATTCTTTTCTAAAAAGAAAGAGAAAATGAATGTTATTTTGAAAAAAAAAGTATTTTCTTTGAAATTACAATTCATATTTTTTCATACTCCATCATCCGTCACAAATCATTTTTTGTTACTAAATATTATTGGTGTTGAAAATATAATTGGGTGAAAATCTTTTTTTTGACATTGAAATTGGAAAGTAGTGTCATTGTTGGTTTATATTAAGATTTTTCCACTCATCACTTGTATTTATATTTGTGTATAAAATGTTTTTTCCATATTTATATTGAAATTGGAAAGTAGTGTCATTGTTGGTTTATATTACTAATTTTCATTGTTCATTGAAAATAATGATATGGTAATGTCATTTCTATTTTTTATACTCCGTATCTTTTAATGTAACTATTAAATACGCAATTTTCTTTTTTTAATTTCACATGATTTTTCATATAAAGTGTTTTTAAAATAATTTTAGTCAAATATCCTAACACTAAGGCTCCATTTGGTACGCAAAATTTAAGTCCTGGAATTAAAATTGGAGACTTCAAGTATATTCCAATTCTGCTGTTTGGTAACGCAAAAGTATGTAGATTCCGAATAAGTAGTGTAAAAATAAATTAAAATTGGAGGATTTAATTCTATAGATTCTAATTTTAATTCAATTCCAATTTAGTCAATCAGATGTACCAAAGAGAGCCTAAATTTTAGACGGAGAGAGTAGTATATCCACTTAACCGAAAAAGAAAAAGAAAAACAGGCAGGAGTATCTAATGTTTGCGTGATCCGAAGATCTCACCCAGGATGAAAGGTAAGTTCTATCAATCCGTAGTCAGACCAGCTATGTTGTATGGTGCAGAGTGTTGGGCGGTTAAGAAAACTCATGTGCGTCGTCTGCATGCAGCAGAGATGCAGATGTTAAGATGGATGTGTGGAAAGACAAGGTTGGATAGGATTTCGAACGAAGTTATCCGACATCAGGTAGGCATGGCGCCGGTGGAAGATAAGTTGCGGGAAGCGAGGTTGAGATGGTTTGGTCATGTGAGACGGCGGGATGCTAACGCCCCTGTACGAAGATGCGAGAGGATTACGATTATCGGGGGAAGTAGGGGAAGGGGTAGACCTAGGAAGAATTGGAAGGAGGTGATTAGGCAGGATTTAGGACTTCTCACCCTGACTGAGGATATGGCCTTAGATAGGAACCTTTGGAGAACTAGGATTAGAGTAGCTGGATAGGAGCTCGGTGCTGTAGAGGTTGTCTGTAGTGTGTTGTGTTTGTTTGGAATCTTTTGTTATTGCTTGTACTTGGTGCTTTACCCGTACTATACTGTGTTCCCTTCCATAATTTTGTGCAGGTTGAGCCGGGAGTCTCTTGCAAACAGTCTCTCTACTTCCGAGTATGGGTAAGGTCTGCGTACATACACCCTCCCAGACACTGGATTGTTGTTCTTGTTTTGTTGAGTATCTAATGTTTGCTTTCAGTTCGGATTCTCTGCTTATTATAGAATTCAATTCAGCAGTAGAGGGGAATTTTTATACGGAGTACGTAAGCGAAGAAAAGAGGGCAAAAAGGCGCCAGTGGGGCCGGGCTTTTTAAAAAAACAGTTTGATGACTAAAAAGATACTCCGTAAAAGATTTGAAAGAGATTGTTACTTAGTGCTTAAGGGATGGCAGCCTAAACCCCGGGAGGTCTTCATGGACTCGCTATACACAACACTAGTCGTTACTACCTCCGTCCCAGAGTATTTGTCCACTTTCATTTTTAAACATCATCCAATACACTTATTTAATCTATTTAATCTTGTAATTTGTATATTAAAAAATTATAGAAATTATATATTAATAATCTATATGTTAAGACAAATCAAACAAAATCACACAAGACTACATTTAGGCTTACACATTGAAAGAGTTTTTTGATGAGTCAAAGTGCTTAGATAAACAGTTCCAAAAGTCAAAACTGGACGAATACTCCGGGACGGAGGGAGTATTTCTTATTTGGATACATACGTGATTGCCAATCTAGCTAGAGTATATCCAAGAATTAATCTAAGGGTACACCAACATAGAGTATTCTATTTATACAGCAAATTAACACAGACACACACAGGCACATAATGTTTGTGCCTGCACAGATATTATGTGTCTGTCTGTGTAATTTGGTGTACAAATGGTTGGTGTATTCATAGCATTGCCCTATATCCAATATATGTAGATTTTTTAATAATAGAATACAATGTTCATTAAGCAGGGCCGGTCATGAAACTTCTATGGCCCGACACCCAGGAAAAGGGCCCTTAATTCCGACCAATTAAGATATAATTAAAAATATTTCTATTTAAAAAGTACTCATACTTTTTTATTTTTAATGATGACAATAAGTTCTTTTGTGTACGTATTCATATTTATTTTAGATTAAATAATAGTTTTTATTTATTTATTGAACAATTTTTTAATGTTTATAAAACAATTATGCTATATAGTTGTGTTTTTTAAATAAAAAATAGGAGTTTTATAGAAATCAATAGTAAATATATAATCTTATGCGCAAACTTGAAACAACAAGGTTGGTGGTTCAAGTCGATGATCAACTTATGTGTTATTATCCAAAGGTGTTTGAGTTCAATCCCCACCTACAACATTTCATTTTTTAAAATAGAAGAAACAAGATTTGTGCTATAGAATATTTAAAAAATTGCATATATATAATAATATATTAAAGAAATTGGGTCCCAATAGATCTTGGGCCCGGTTCGGTTGGGCACCTGCACCACTTTTCTGTCTTCACGTTCCTACAATCAGTCGTATTATGGGAATCCAACTGGTGGTAGATGCACCACTTTTCCGTCCAGGCCCTCTTCGCCTGATCACCTTTTTCGCTCATCCTGAATCTGGTGCACCATCCCATCATAATCCTTGTGTATCCCTCCTCCAACTCTTGCGTACTCAGGTTCAAGTTTTCTGCTTCTGCGTACTCCCAAGCGGTGTTGTAGACTTCTTGGTAGGATGAGGGTAGTCTCCTACAAAATTCCATGTAAAGGTCCCCTGCTCGAAAAGTGTTCATCAGGAGGGACATGGCCGTCATTTTGTCCATCTCATCCACCTTGCCGACCTCCTCCCTCTAGCGGGTGAAGAATTGTGTCAATGATTCCTTCTCTCGTTTCCCTACCGTATTAAGATAGGTGAACTTCTTCATTTTGATACAATTGTCCTGGTATTTCGCATGGAAAAGTTCAGCTAGGCGTTCAAAAGTATTTATCTTCCCATGAGGAAGGTTGTCGAACCACTCCACTGGTCTCCACTGAGTGATGAGAAGAATATGAGGCACTCCTCCGCATCAGTACACCCTACAATCTGTGCGGAATTATGGAAGGTGTCTAGATGTATATTCGGGTAGGTCCTCCTTCCTGGTGAACTTTTCTACGTCAAGCTTGATCTTCCTCCTCAACCTTTGGGCATGGACTTGTGGGAAACATGGGGACCTCGAAAGGGTATGCTTCCTCCGTCCACTCTTCTCATCCACCTTGTCCTCCAAAGCCTGCAGTTTCCGCACCATGCTCCGATCCTATTAAAGTCCTCCTCCTGGTCCTCATATGAGAGTCGAGTATATGCCAATTGCCAAGTGGATCGCCTCAGCTTCCATGGAATGTCGTGACGGAGCAGGATGTGGGTCCCGTCCCCCACCAATCCGATCAAAAGCGCTAGCCCGAGCCGTCTCAGGCCTAAGACATAGCTTGGCTGACTTGTGGGGTCCGTCCTCCTAGTCTCCTAGCCGTTCGAATGCCGAGTCTCGAGTCTTGCTTGGTTTGGTGATAGTTTTCCCTTTCCTCTGGCGTGTTTCCTCTGGATCCGCAACATCACAGCCTTTGTAGGTACCTGGGATATGTGAAGGTCCATCTCCATCCATGGCCGGAGCCAAATTCATGGGATGCACGGAACTGACCATCCTTGGTACAAAAGTTGATGGGGTAATCCCTGGGACTGACATGGGACTCAACCCTGGCGGAAGCATGCCAAGGTATGCA